GGTAATGGTCAGCCCGTGTGTCGCGCTTTTGCTGCATGTAACGTACCTGGAATTTGTCCTGCGATGGCGCTGCGCACCTCAGCCTCGGTATCCTTGAGGAGCTTGACAAATGCGGGTACAAGGTCTCGGTTGACAACCTCGTCGTCGACGGCTTTTGCAATCTACACCCGTTAGCGTATGCCCTCTCTCGCTGCGAGCCAAACGCACCTTCTCAAATCGGTCTGCCACCATGTATCGCACTCTCCAGCTCTTATCCTCAAACAGGCTCCGCAGCGCAGTCAGCAGGACACCGTGGCTCGACTGCTGTTCCTTGGGTACTGCTTCGGCGATGGCAATGAGGATGTCGACAGTCAGGAGACGGACGCTGTCCTGGTCGTCGGCGGCGAGGTGCTGGAAAAGAGGAATCATTTCTTCAATGACGATGGATGGCGGCATCGCCTTGATGAACTTGGCGAGGTTGTTGGCCGCCTGTCTCCGGACCATGGGGGTATCATCGTGCACTAGCTGGCCGTAGTGCTGCCTGAGGGCTTCTTGTGAGGGTGGTGTAGCGCGAGTGTAGGGGGTCTGGTAGAGTCCAGTCGCGGAGATCTTCGACGTGAACCAGTCGGCTTTTGATAGGCGCAAGACGAGGGGTATGAAGTTCTCTTCAATCTGCTGCTGCGACAGCTCTTCGCAGATCTTGTTGAGCGATTCGACAGCCTGCACGTGTTAGCTGGCGGCCGGGCTGAGGCAATTGTTGCGCGCACCTTCTCTCTGACAAGAGGCTCCTCTATGGCTGCAAGGTTCTCGAGAGGCGACAAAAGCACGTGTGCATGCTCTGGGCCGCCCACATACTCGACAAACTTGCCAAGTTCCTCGCTCAATGCTGTGAGAACCTCGTCTTCGTCCTCGACCGACTCTGGATACTGCCGTTAGCCAGTCAACACGTGACGCAGGCGCCAGCCAGGCTCTTACCATCGAGAAAGGGTATGAGTTCCTCTCGTGTCCGCTCGGCGCCGAGGGCGAGGGCAATTGTGTTCAGTCGGTGGATGGCGTTGAGGCGGAGGATAACGTCGTCGTGCTTCAGCTCGTCGATGAGCACGGCGATGGGGTAAAGCTCGTCGTTTTGATTTGCGTCCATGGTTCAGTGTCTGGGGCGGGTTAAGTTTATGAGGGCGCAGTAGGGAGCTCGAAACGCGGGCGTGGTGTTGACGTACCTGGTTGTTGGCGAGGAAGCGAAGAGGGGTGTCAGGGCGCTGAAGGACCAGTCCGAGCTTTTCAGCCACAGGTGCGCCACACTTGCAGATGAGAAGGTACCGGAGGGAAGATGCAACCTGTGTCAGATGGAGATATGGTGTTGGCTTTTGATTGAGAGTTTAGCCTGTTGATCAAAAGTGCTACTATCTTCGTGTATTTCGAATTCGGAGTGTTATTTGACACCTGCCTTTTCCGCTAGTGCGCCACATCTGGGCTCCATCTGAGGAAGGCACGATGCCGTGACTACAGATCTCTTAGCGACATCCACCCACGCAGCTTACGATGTACTTAGCATCCCACTTTATGAAATGCGTCAGGGCTCGCGCATACACACAGAGCCGCGATAGCGTGTGCCGAATGTCTTGTGACATCGTCTAGCGCCTTCCGCTCGCCAAGGCCCTGAGAAGGACCGTTCTACTAGCAAAACGACTTGCTGCCCTCTTGTCTCTTCAACTCTCGGACGAGGAATTTGGATCGGCTCACGATGGACGACGAACACCAACAGAGGCGTGTTGAAAACCAAGGCGCTGCCAAACCGAACGCGACCGAGGACGAACCACTGCTTGGCCGTTCTTCGTCCTCATCACAGGCGTCCCAGCAACTGCCCAAACAGCTTACTACACGTCACGCGTTCGCCGTCCTTGTCACTCTCCAAATCGGCTCAGGAATCTTTGCGTCGCCAGCTCAGGTCGATAGCAATGTACCATCGCCCGGGACTGCTCTCCTTGTGTGGGTCCTTGGTGGGCTGTTATCATGGGCAGGAGCAGCATCCTTCGCTGAGCTTGGTGCCGCGCTGCCATTGAATGGCGGAATGCAGGAGTATCTGCGCCATATTTATGGTGATACTGCGGCCTTTCTGATGGCATGGGTGTACATCCTGGGTGTGAAGCCGTCGTCAATGGCTATTCAAAGCATCGTCATCGCTGAGTCTATAGGCTCCGTCACGTCCAGTACTGGCGAGTTACCCGACAAGAAGATTCTCAAGCTCATGGCTGCCATGGCCTTTATCTCCATGGTGCTGCTCAACTCCATCAATACCCGATTTACAATGCGACTGAGCGAGTCATTCACAGTCTTCAAGCTGTCCACAGTGGGGCTGATCGTCTTGAGCGGCATGGTAGCTGTGGCTGCACATCTGATCAATGCGAACTCTTCGTTTTCCGGGCCGTCCGACTGGTACTCCCGCAACTGGTTCCAGACTAGATCGACAGTGTCGGATGGCCAGACCATCGATTGGGTTTCCATGGGGACCTGGGACCGTTACGGCCACTACTGTGCAGCGATTTACGGAGGACTGTGGGCATACGATGGATGGGATAACGTGAGTGTATGGCCTCACTGACTCAACAGTATGGTCTGACAGTGTGTTCTAGGCCAACATCGTCGCAAGCGAAATCCGCGATCCAGGTCGTGCGCTTCCAAAAGCGATCAAAGCTGCAATGATCGTCGTTCTCAGTTCATTCGAACTCGTGAACATCGCTTACTACATCCTTGTACCATGGGATAAACTGAGCAGCAACAACGCAGTAGCTGTCGCTGCTGCCACCTCTCTTTTGGGCAGACCTGCAGGTATTCTCGTCACTACCCTTGTCGCCATATCTTGCGCAGGGTCTATCACGAGCAATGTCTTCTCAGTAGGCAGACTAACAATTGCTGCATCGCAACGTCATGTACGTGTTCCTGTACGGAACGCATGTGAGAGATATACTAACGTCGTACCCCAACATGCAGTACATACCTGCAGTATTCAGCAAGCGAGGACTGCCGATGACGCAGAGGGCTGAAGCAGAGAACAGCATTTTATCCAACCTTGACGCCCCAATGTAAGCCACTCGGGAACCCAGGGTCTGCCAAGACACTGACACGAGTTACAGCTATGCCAACTGTTTAGCCCTTGTCGTTACCCTTGCCTACATATTGACAGGTAGTTTTCGGGCACTTTTGACTTTCGTTGGGATGGCTGAATGGGTCTTCTACGTAAGCACAGTGGCTGGGCTGCTTATACTCCGTCGCCGAGAACCGGAGTTGGCCCGACCCTATCGTCCGTTCGTCGTCCTTCCCATCATCTTCGTCGTCGTCGGTACTCTGGTGATCTTGCGATCTGCTCTGTTTGCGCCAGTGCAGAGTGGTGTCCTCGTGGGCCTTCTCGTAGTGGGCGCTTTAATCAGCCGATTACGGAGCACCCAAAGCTCATGAAGATCGACCGACGAATCTGGCATCTACAACGTATGCACGCAGAATTCCGCGCCCGGTTTTCAAAGACATTGAACGGTCTTGCGCCTGCAGCATGGTTCTCTGGCTCAGCTGTCTAAGTATAGCCGGACCAATCTCTCTGGTCTAGACGGTGGCAAACAACAGAGTTCGGTTGATCCACCAGCCCTCATGGCTCGGGTAAGATGGATGTGGAGCTGACATATGGAACCGATGCGCTAAGCAAGGTTTAATTACCTAGCCCAACGGCAGGCTACCTTCCCCGCAACTCAATTTTGACTTCGCTGCCGGCATCAAGCATGATGGATCCACTTGCTGTCAATTTCACTCTGCTAACTTTGTTTGTGCCTGCCAATCACTCATTCAACACTATATCCGGTGCCGCATCCGACCCTTTGGTAGTACTCCTCGAGTTGCCCTGGCGCCGGGTCATGCGGGTTACCCAATCAGATACATATGGCTAATACGGCGCCATATACGTACAATGGTCGACGTCCGCCTTTGCCGGAAATCAGCACTATGACGAAGCCTCATGGCGAACGAATATACTTTTCGTAACGAGGCATGATCCCGAGACCCACGAGGCGACAAGACCCGACCGTAGGCTTGTGCTGTGACAGCAAACCACACCGTACCTTGCAGGACGATGCCCATCTCCCAAGATCGGGTCCCAGAGCGCTTCTCGGTCTGGAGGCTGTCTGTCTTAATCAGCATATACACAACCCGTATTGCTGCATCTGATGCAATGAGACGCCGTATGATGAGCAAAGCCTCATCACTCATTTTATCCACTCGCCCTTGGTAAGCAAAGGAATTTCCCAGCTAGTGATGTGACATATGTCACAAACTTACTTTCGGGTCACGATGCTGCAACTACACTAGCTAGTGGGCCATCAGCGTGAGGGTTCACAACACACGCTCGCGCCTAAACGCATCGATCCCCGGTCCATCGCCCTGTTCGCTCTTTGAAGAGCGTCGATCGTGACTCAGGACGTCTAGAGTACGAGCAAGCGACATCATTTGGAGTTGCGGGGAAGCTCTTGGGCATCGCGTAGCTGCATGTCTTACAGCACATGCAAAGAATGTATCGCACTTCCAAAGAGGATCAAGGAAAACCATACCTCCTCGGGCCACTGGGTAAAGAGCCTTTATCGATTTTATTGAGGAATGCAGAGCCTCTTCGTTGGCATTGGTGGAGGTCCAGTGTTTTCTTATTGCTCTGCAGATGGTTTGGGGAAGCAAAGAGCCGAGACGGGACTCGAAGTGTCGTACAGCGTCATGCTACGACCTTGCAGGGCACATTCCACGTTCAATGAACCGGGGACGAGAACAACCGCAATTTAGGATACGAGAAGACGGACGGAGATACTCCTCGGCACTACTCAGACCGCCAAGCGAACGGGCCTCGAAGTAATGTCAACGAAGAAGTATAAAGAAGGCAGACTCTGGACTTCAAGTTGAGCATCCACAGCATCAAGCATCATCTCAGCTTCTTACCTTCACTTCCACCAACTCTTCACTCTCTACCAACCAAACAACTTCCAACCATCAACATGCGCTTCTCCATCCTCGCCTTCATTGCCGGTGCCGCCGCCGCTCCCTTCGCTTCCACTGGAACAGAGCCCGTCTGCCCCGATGGCCTCTACAACAGCCCCCAGTGCTGTGCCACTGACGTTCTTGGTGTTGTCGGCTTGAACTGCGCAGTTCGTAAGTCTTTGCCTTCCATTCCTTCCACTCATACACGCAATCATGCTAACGTTGCCATCCAGCCGCTACCACTCCCACCAGCACCACTGGCTTCATCGCCGGCTGCGCTGCCGCTGGCAACCAAGCCAAGTGCTGCACCATCCCCGTTGCCGGCCAGGCTGTTTTGTGCCAGGACGTTAGCCCCGGTGCCGGCGCCCCCGGTGGCGGATCTCCCCCCGCTACCACTCCCTCTCCTGCTCCTGCTCCTCCTGCCGAGAGCCCTGCTGTGCCCTCCGGTTGCCCTCATTACTAGATCAGAAAGTTGGTGGTGAATCAGTGGGGAATTGATGATCGAGGCGAGTAAACATGGAGCCAAACTGGAAGACATAGGGGAAAGCACACATATAGCTGTAGTCATCGTCAATACAGTCTGCAGTTGTAGCACCAGTCTGACATTCCAATTCTCGCATTTTGATTGATTTGATAATATGTAGTATTGCTGCATCGTGACGCAGTTTGTACTATGGTGGTTGATGGTTGTCGTGGAATGCGGGGAAATGAAGATCGCGCTGGGCGGGTGAATCTCCCGGCGCACTGCGACCGTTTCGAAAGGGGAAAGTGGGTCCCTAACTAGGGGACGTGCGTCGAAAGGCGATCGCGATTTTGCGCTCTCGTCCGTTTCTCCACCAGCGTTGCTGCTTTCAAGTTCAGATTCCCTCGTGCGTCGTGCTCACGCTATGCCATAGCTGTTTTGAAATCATCCCAAGACCTGCACACAAACGCATGGCGACCTCATTTCAATCTCTTCGACGTGCAGCCTCGTCAGCCTTACCAAACCTAACAGCCACCACGTGTCAAAACTATCCGAGCGTCGACGCCGTTCGCAAACACAGTTTTGTTCATTCCAGAATGTCACATGGAAGGACTTCAGCTGGCACTAGGGGCTACGTAGCGCACCACCAGCACGTTGGTGGCTGCTGACGTGGATATTCGCCTTGTGTTGTCTTCTCCCCCTCGGGATCCGTGCACCACGCTTGATTGGTTGATATAGTAGCTGAAGCTCTAGGGCTGAAGCTCACCATGCCCCGCGCTCCAACGCAGGAGGACTGCACTCACAGAGTCATCTGCTGGTAACTTTGTTGGACCATTGAATCGTCGCACCATGGCCTACAAGGTGCTTCTAGTCCCTTTGCCATTTGCAGGCTCAGCGTTGTACCTCGCGTATCTACACGCAACCCTCTCCCGAAAGGTGCAGTGCCGAACGACGCCTTACCCCCAAGACAAGTCCATCTCCATTCCTAGCATCGCACAAAGGAGCCCGGAAGACTACATCGTTCATCATGAGTGCGCGCGTAAGACAGTCTCCAGAGACTCTATGGGAAGGCAGAAACCGGAAGCACTGTTGGTGCCCTTCCTCCGACACACAATGACTACATTCTCAATGCGTCCTCCTGCATGGGGTATATGGTACATGATCAAGGACGATCGAGATAGGGAGACATTTGACGCAGCATACATCCGCTCTCTGAACTTCTTACATGGAGACCGCGTCTGCGGGGTTTACGTCGTAACTTCTCGAGAGCAGGATCGCATTACCTTGACTCTGGATGCACCTGAAAGTTACAAAGGACCATCGGTGGATGGCATGCTGGTAGTTGAAGTCAAAGAAGAGAGATATCAAATTACTTTCATCAACCATACAGTCATGTGGCGGGAGAAAGGGAAGGGGCACGCAGGGGTCTTGGAGGGGAAGTTTGGGAGGTGGATGCATGCTCTCATGGTAAGAGGGCTTGTTGAGGAAGGTGTGCGGCGACTGTGTAGAGGGGCTGAAGAGAGAAAGGAAATTGAGAAGTGAACGCGCACGCAATGACGTGGGTTCGTGCCACAGTGGCCAGGTAGGATGTGAGGATGACAACCTTCTTATTTGGCCACACTCTCGAACTGCAGGAACAAAAGTTGGCTTGAATTAATTGAATAGTCTCAATACGGATGCAGCGTGGGTTTGGGTCAGGGGCGAAGGACCAGCGATAGGCTGTGAGCTACTCGGCCTCAATATACACAGGTAAGCTGCATCAGCCGCCCCCACTCGGGCCCCGATACAACAGCACCTATCTACGACGACATATGAACAACCTAGCAATTCTTCTGGAGACTCTTCTTCACGTTCAAAATCGGGCCATGCCTTGTATCCGCAATCATCGGATCGACCGTCATGTCAGGTAGTCTCGAGGTCGCGGCGGGTATCTTCGCTATCATCGGTGTAGCTGACGTTGTGGTGCGAATGGGTCGGGAGGTTTACAGTTTTCTACGCGATATTGCTGATGCGCCGGAAGAGGTCGGAAGATTATCTACTGCAGTCGAAGAGACTGCCCTACTTGCAGAGACCGTAAAAGAGCTTCTCGATAGTTTCGCCAGTCGGAAAGAAGGTGGGGCGACGGATGGAATGTTAGCGCTATTCGCGTCTGCGCTCAAGAGTTTGCAGCGCGAACTACAAAATCTAAGGATATTGAGCGCAAGATATAGGAGTGTTGGTAAGACTTGGAATAGGGTGAAGTACGTATTGGACGAACGGAAGGTCAGCAAAACACTCAACAATCTGGAACGGTCGAAAAGTCTACTAGTAAACTCTCTACAAGTTGCCAGCAGGTATGCATTCTTTCCCCTTCTGTAACGCGCGTGTATTGATGAGATATCCAGGCAGAGATCAGATGAACAGCATCACGAGCTACTGAAAAGACACGACACGAACCAGGCTACGTTGATCCAAGGGCAAGAACTCCTAGGAAGACTATCGGTCTATCAATACCAGGAAACGAAGCGAATTTCCAAGATTCTGGCAACTACCCACCAAGAGCAAGTGAGCGAGCACTGGAAGACTCGTGAAGTCTTATCGGAAAAGATCGGCTATGCTATAGCTGCTGAGTTTGAGAAGTATCGGATACCTCACACTAAGAGATGGATGAGAAACGTCTACTTCTACGGTGAGCGTCGCGACATGATCATGGCATATTTACTGCTCGTCAAGCCGCATTTGGAGACAGCATTCCAAAAAATACTGAACGATGGCACTGAGCGGTTTCCGCCGTACCATGTCGATTGGCTACAACACGAGTTCGACCACCTTGTTGCATCAGCGGCGCAAGAAGAAGCGGCAGCACACCACGGATCTTCCGCGACCTCTATTGACCGTTGGCATTACTCTGGGGAAACGATGCCATGCCATTCTCTGATACCTGGATGTGATATAAGAGAGTTGAACACCACGTCTGTTACACCAGAAGCAAACTACGCGAATCTTTATCTCAGCGCACCGGTGATGGCCGGTGAACGGGCATATAACCAGACTACACCCTTTGGTAGTCTGCGTATACAGTCGCCTCTCCGGGCGTGTAAAGCAAAGTTCAAAGGCCCAAGCAATGAGGTTAATTTCACCTTCACTTGCGGCATTGGCCAGTCAATCCACGCTATCCACGCCCACTTTCTTCGCAACGCAACTAGTGCATCTAACCCGGGGCTTTGCGCCCAACTTAGTGTCTTCACTCTAGTCGAGTCCGAGACCCATTATAACCAGCTTTTCGCATCTGCCAATGTCGAGGAGATTGATAACGCCTTACGAAAAGGTCAGATTTCACCCTATCACATCAACCGGGAAGGCAGAAACTTATGTCTTTATGTAAGCTCAGACCAAAAGCTCTCAGAAGGCGAAAGTGAGCTAATCTACAGCCTACAGTATGCTTCAAAGAATACACGGATAGATCTGCTCGATTACTTAGCAGGCCAAGGTATCGGTGTATCTAATCTAAAGTAAGCCAAGTCTGATACGTTGTCACAAGTTCTTCTCTGACGTACAGCAGTCACGATGCCAGCCTAGTCGCAGGTCTTTTCATACGCGCAATGATGGATCATGACCGTGCCACATTTGAGGAAACGTTCGATCATGTCATCCACCAAATCTACGAGTCATCCTCATTCCTCTTCGAGATGACGACACAGATGCTGATCTGGGATTACTATCAACGGAGACCACGTTCCCTATTACGACAACAGATACAGCGATTGCAGCAAGAGGATCTCATTCCCGAATCTATCATACTGGATGACGATCCATGGGACTGGCCCTCGGTATCCAGCATCATTGCTCCACTCTTCGAAGTCGATCCTGCATACATCAACACGATTGGACCTCTTGGCCGCAACAGACTACAACGCTGCTACAGTGCTACTTCACATGAAGGTAGCCCAGGAGACCCGGTTGCATTTGAAGAGATTCCCAACGCGTTGATAAGAATGGGCGTTGATGTACATCATCGTGACCACGACGGCTTAACGCCGAGCATGTACGCTAGACGTCGTGGCGGATGGGATGGATGGTGCAGAGCACTTGCGAGGAATGGTCTGCGCATCGAAGATGTAGTCAAGGAGGACGATACGGAATGGCTCTTGGATGAGGATTGGAGGAGCGTCATGAAGGAAAAGCATGGCGAGCTGGCTGTCACAGGGTAGCGGGGTACGGATTATCCCTCTCAATCCTAAGGAAATAGTATTGCAACGACGACATATAGCAGGCAGGTCCACAGTGTTGTCAGTCGCATGTCTGACGTGAAGAAAACTTCTAGTATGGATATTTTACAGCGCATGGGGTGATGCAAAGAGAGACCAAAGATAAGGTACATTTGTGTATATATTCAAAGCTCCACGTGCCCAGTAAAACATGCCACCTCGGTCTTCAGCACAACCCAATCCGGCCTAACTTATCATCCCGAAGTTACAGCCTTCCCACAATTCCCGTTGGATATAAAGATGGGATCTGAAGTAGCAAATGTAGAAAGAGTGACCGTCGAATTATTCTGACTGCACGTCCCCACCTCCAGTGTCAACAGGGAACACTGCCCCCCAAAGAAGTCATTAAAGCCACAACCCGTGCTTGTTATACAGGCAACGCAGCAGTCGTACGGCAAGGCCGCGTTCACCAAGCTGAGGTCAAAATTGTCTTTGTAATTGCCTTGAATAATTGTCTGTCCGCCTATTGTGACTAGTGCTGGGGTATCAAGTGTTGGAGAATCGAAGTAATCACAAAAGAAATTCCAGAGAGTCTTGCTTTGATCAGATGAGCAGCATATCGAATGCTGACCTAAAGCCCTACGTTGGATTACAGTGATCTACCGCAACTCTTCCCTCTCATCCTCTTCGTCGTCCTCGATTTTGGCGCAAGAGAACGCGCACTCCATTGACCGTTGCTGCACATGATTGTTAGCAATTCAGTCCTCGTGTGCGAACCTCGAAGAATAACGTACCCTGCTTCCATTCCCACTCTCCGCCCAGGAACCGGTGTTACACCACGCTTCGGGGTGTGACTTCTTGCTCCCGCCCTCGGTCGCCCATTTCAGCCCATCGTACTCAAAGACCAGTGCGTCTTCGCCATCGGAGCCGTAGATAGTCAACTTGGTGTCGTCTAACAGTCCATCGATCTCGAAGATCTGTGTCGCGGAGACTTTCACATACGAGTTGCGCTCCGTCCGGGGTCTCGAAGAAGCGAGATCGATAGTGATTCCGTTCATGTGGTCTTCCAAGCTGTCGACTTGGACGTAGTTGAGCTTCCCATCGCTTGCCGAGGCTGGACGGGCAGCGGTCTTGAGTTGCTTGTGGAAGAGGGTGAAGGTGCATTTGTCGGCCAGCGATGTAGCGGACGACGATAGCAATGACTGCGCATCACCGCGGGGGAGAATGCGCGGGGGCTGAGGAGGGAGGACGCGCGCTGCGCATAGTGAAGGCGTGAGGAAGAGAACCGAAGAGAGGATGGCGAAGGTGTTGGTGTGCATCTTGAAGACCTGCTTGCGAATGCTTCTGGTAGTGTTGGCTATCTGTTTTGATGAAGAAGAAGTAGAGTTGATGACGCAGTCAGTCAAGTAAGACAAAGTCGAGCGGATAACCGGATCCAAGACCAGCTGGAAGATGCAAGGGAGAGTGAATGCAGGTACAGAACGCGCTGACGAGCAGGTACTCTTGTACCTTATTCAAGTATAGAGAAATTTCGTTTCAGAGTAACTACGCCGGACTACCCGCTCTTCACCCTGTCTATCTGTTCATCGCTACTATTTTGGTGTGGCGATCCCGCTTGAGTACTCGGACCATGCGGCGGTTGTGCAAGGCTGATATATGCGGGGTTGCGGCACGGTGGCTCAAATAGAGTGCTCTGGCGGCAACGTCAGCGGCAAGCATCCACCCCGTGCAATGAGGTGCATCGTAGAGCCGCAAGGAATGTGGGGGTCTGCAAAGAATGTGTGTTCATGAGGGCGGCGCGGGTCATTGCGCTGGGCAACGTTGCGTGAGATGGGCGGTGCTCGAGGGTCGAGGGGCCCAGTAAATTAGGAGCGGCGCAATGAAGTCATGATCATCGTAGAGATGGCCTTAACATCCTCGAGGCATGCGCATCTTCAAGATGATAGCAGAGGAAGACGAAGATACGTCATATGCACGCTGGCTTGAGCTCTTGACTTCGCTGTTCCAAGTCTCTGATGTATCCTATCCACAACGAAGATCCCTCGTTCCTCGAGAGACTGCAACGTGGTTGCCTCCTTGGTCCAATGTCACTGCGCAAGAAAGCATCTGCGTATCCACGGTTACATCACCTCGGAGCTCAGTAAGGTCAACACTGTGCGCGCGTGTATGTATCGGCTTGGCTTCCGTGTGCTGAACGCCCTGGTGAGCGCCCTGAAGATTCGCGAAAGAAGGCTGGCAAAGATACCTCCGACTAATGCAAACGAGTCGCTGCGTCGCTTGAAAGGAATCAATATCAGTACGTTTGCCAATTCGAAGCTCTTGTGATCATCCAGGCGGCAGCCATTGAATGCTGTTGGTAAGATATAGATGCAATACGGCTTTCGAGATGAAGCGAGTAGATTTGGGTTCGCATGGCCTCTTGTCGCAGTGTTGAGCAAGGATTCTTCAAGCGAGTATTGAGTGCAGCGTCCGTCCCATATTCAAACGTCTTTTTCAATCAAGCACAAGTCTTTGAGGCCAGTGAATATGCGCTCAGGTGCGCAACAGTCGCATGCAAATTCCGGGTCCATGGTTTGGACGTGCGCAGGGGGAGAAAGGGCAATTTCGGGATGCCGAATCGGTAGTCGTGGGGCCGAGCGTCTCGAAGTCTGACGTTGAGCACACAAGTTGGAATTCGTCATTCTTCTCAACTCACTCACAGCCAAACTCCGCCGTCGCAATGTCGCGCCCCTGCCAGCAACGGCGCGCCAGTGCGGCTGCAAACCGGAAGTCCAGAGGGTCCAAGCCAACCGGACCGCCCCCGATACGACACAAAGCACGGCAAAAGGCGATACACAACGCTCGACGCAGCGAGCGCGGCGGAGCACGTGGAGGCCGTGGTGGAGGTCGCGGAGGAGGCGGAGGAGGAGGCCGTGGTGGCGCGGGACGGGGTGGGCGAGGAGGAGGACGTGGCGGACGTTTTGCGCAGAAGAATGGCAGGAACGAATCGGGCCAAGACTTCATACCTCTGTCCTCTGGTGGCAACAACTTCGAAGCCCTCTACAGGTCCTCACGCAACGACGACTTTGATCTCGACATGGACGGCGACAGTTCTGACTCCGACGCATTCGGCGACGACTTACTCGACGACGACATGTATGAGGCCGAGGATATCGAGATCAACGTGCAGGCGCCACTGCCCACAACCGGTCGAGGAAGACAACCACGAGCGCAGATAATGTTTACGGAGGCAGCCGCGGTCACAGTATACAGGCAGCTCTATCTGCGCGATTACCCACTCAGTACCTCAACCACGCGAGTGCGCTACGGTCTCTACCAGGAGGACACCTCTGCCGATTCGGCCGCATACATCTCCCTCGCACCATCCACAGCATCTCGCCGATCGAGCGTCATCAGCATCAGCAGCGATACAAGCGAAGAGTCCACAGATGGACCAGCAACACCGGAGTACAATCCTGCACGCGACTACGTCTTCACGTTCGGTATGCACAGGGGCGAGCGGTTCACCGATGTGAACGAAAACTACCTCAGAATGATCGGTGGTCAGCTATACAAATACAGGGACAAGCATGCGGGCCTTTTGGAGGCATTCGAGTACCACAGGCCGGGGCAGGCACGTCTTCAGCCAGACCACCCTCAAACCCAACAGACACAAGCTCAGCTATCGCAGCCACGACAGGCTCCCACACGGAACGCACAAGGGTCTCGATCAAACGCTCTTTCGGCATCAGACACATGGACATTCCACAAAGGCATTCACCTAGGAAAGCGACTCCATGACGTACCTGAAAACTATCTACGAACGCTAGAGGGCAATCCCCTGGTCAGAGACGCCTGGCCTGGCTTCAAACAAGCACTCCAGGACTTCAATGCCAAGACTGGTAGAAAAGGTCGGGTTTGATCACACAACAGCCGTACAATAGCTGCCCCCACGTGGTTGCGCCTTCTACGAGCGTTTGTTGGTGGTCCAAGCGGCAATTTTGGGACTCACCTCATTTGGGCGACCTACAACTTGCAGAACCAGCGCAACCCATTGCGGCTGCGACCTCTTTGTCTGAACTGTCTGAATCCGCGGACTTTTTTCGTACTACACACTACAACGTCTGACCCATAACGATACTGCACCTCGCTTTACCATGGTGAGAACCAAGAAACGTGCGCGGGCGGATCCCGAATTGTCGCAGTCTCAGCCGCAGCTTCATGCCAAGCGACAGAGGGGACCGAACGCCATGGCAGCGCAAGCGAAAGAGGAGGCTGACGACACAACTGCGGCAGACGATGTGCGATACATGAGAACGCAGCCAAAGGCCCAGGCACCTATCGACAGCTCCCGAGCCAAGTCCTTCCCCAGTCAGACATCCGAAGTCATTGACTTGACGCTGAGCGACGAGCTCGACAATGTGTTCCCCGCATATTCGTCCAGGTCAAAAGCTCTCCAGGATCAGGCCGAAGAGCAGCGCCACTCAAAGTATGCTCTACAGAACAAGATGACCGGAACACTTGGCGAGCGCTCTCTAGGTCAATCCAGCGGCGGGCAGGGTACTGAAATCAGCGAAGGCGAAGTACGATGGGCCATTCCCTCACTATCTGCAGATGACCTTGCTCAGCGGCGCCAACAAAAGAAACAGGAGAGGAAGAGGCAGAGGAAGGAGGCGGCCATGGACGTCATAAACGCCCAACGCTCCTATGCGCCGGTCATGTTCACCCTTTCAGAGGCAGTAGCCTTTCTCTGGCAACCCCAGCTAGCGATCACCTATGATCTTCCGACTGGCGACTATGTACCTTGTCAGTAATACTCCTGTACGAATTGTATGTGAGACAAATACTGACGCTCTACACTCATCTTTAGATCCCGTTCATAGATCATACCACCTGGGCGGTATGGGTCGGTACGAAGATACTCGTGCTGCTATGCATACAAGTCTGCCCTATCGTCCTTCCGGCGCTGGTGGACGCGGCCCTCGTGCGAATGACCGTAGGTCAGACCGAACGGAGGCTCACGG